TCTGAAAGAGCTTCTGGAGAAGGGAATGGCAACCCAGACCAGTATTTCTTGCCTGGAAAATCCCATGGTTGGGGAGCCTGGTAGGCTATAGTTCACAGGGTCACAAAGAGCTGGACATGACTAAGCACGCACAAGAAGAAGAAAATCTACTACTATGTGCCAGGTACCATGCTGTAGGGCTTGAGGAGACAGATATAAACACAATTCATGTCTTCTAAGATTATTTACAACTTTTTTATTTAAAGTGAAGGACTAGGTCAATAATTCTAATAACCCTCCAACCAAAGAAACACTTTTGAATGAGCCAATTTAATAACTGGGGCATCTTAATTATATGCTTCAGATGGTTGATTAAATACTGTCTCAGTGAATATTTCTATCTTACGGCAGGACAAGGACTGGCACAAGGCCTGGCTTGACCCAGGTGATAACACGACACTAAGAATTCAAGTTTGGTTTGGCTTCTATCCATTACCATTTGTACATGCAAAACCTACCGTTTTAACAATAGTCTGATTAGCACTGGAGTGAAGGTCTGGGCTATGTTCTATGTCAATGACATCAGCTATTAAAAAGTACCATAAAGTCCACTTTCAATTATAAAATGCTCTGTAAATGCTAAATAAAAATAAGACAAGAAAACGATCTCCAGTTCTATTTCATTTCATGTTTCTAGACAATTCTTTGGTTTCACACTTCAGTAAGAATACCTTTTGAGATCAGAGAAAAAAGGAAAAGAACCTGATTGTATTCTAGACAGTCTTAGTATGATTCAATCCCATGTTTAATCCCACTCCAGTCAGGGAGAATAATGTGAACCACGTGGCTCGAGGTTAAGATGCGTTTTTGAGGATAACTTCTTAATAAATTAGTATAAATTCTAGATATACAAACATGGTTTAACTGCTTGTTTCAAGCACACCAGCTACAGAAAGCAGTCAATGGTGCATCTTATATGGAAAGAAAAGTAATCAATATATAATGGAGAAAACGGCTGTCATTAACTGCATGGTGAGAGGCTGGTTACATTGAGCTTAGCATGTTATACTTTTGGTTCAGTGCTTTCTGGGAGACTGAGCAGAGGGAAGGAAAGGAAGGGGATCGATGTGTTTTTTAAGTTTTAGGTTTCCCCTGGGTAAACTATGAAAGATGATTGCGTAGTCACTACAAAGGAAAGCTGTGAAGAACTCATGTGCTTTAAATTTCCTAAAAATCCAGCCTGGACATACACACACATACAAACCCCGAATTAACTACATCTTTTAGTTTCCCTAAAGTCTAGAATAAATGTAAGAAATCTAGAGACTAAAACCCTGCTTTGTGCAACAGATGTTTCTGAAAAGTTTGGCTGCAAAAAAATTTTTGCAAACTGGATCATGTCAAACACATGAGGATTACTTAACAGACCACTTTCAATTAAACATAATAAAGATTGCTATTAAAAATAACTTTTTCCCACTGTATACAAGTTCTGGATCCCTGGAGGTCTGTCCCCTTTAAAACTAGGCTCACCCCAGCAACACGCAGGCACACAACTTCACGGGGACCTGCGCCTTATTTACCAAGCATCACCGGCACTCTTTCCCGTCCTCAGGCTCAGTCCTAGGAGCTGGGATTGGGTATCCTGCTGTTCCTCTGGTCTTAGAACTCGGCCCACTCCCGGACCACAACGCTGCGATCATCCTCCTCAGTCCTGAGCAGGACTCCTTTCCCTTTATTCGGCTTTGCTGCTTCCCTGTTGGACCCAACTGCTGAAGGGAACCCTGGCCTCAGGGAGCCTGAGCTGAGGACAGCCACCTCCCGCCCCTCTCCTCTGCTGCCTCGGCTCCGTTTGTTTTCCAAGCCTGGACTTCTACTATTTCACTTGTTTTCAAGGCTGAAATCACTTGGACTTATTTACAAGGGCCCTTCTGGCTATCTGCAGAAAAGAATGAAAAAAAACCAAAACACGAGAGGGCAGGAAAATAATAAAGGCCCGACACAGTTTCCAGTCCCCTCAGACTCACTCAATCAGAAACTCTGGGATGGGGCTCCTCCAAGAGATGTTCATGCACACTAAAGTGTAAGAACCACTGATCTGAAGAAAAGAGGGTATCTGACGAATACTTTGGACAAAATGAGGCATCTCATTTATCAGTCTATATTACTGACACTGAAGAATGCTTTAGACATTCTGTGTCTTAAGCCACAGCTATGGTATAATTTTTGTAAAATATCTTAGAAACTTATTTCCACGTGAAAAAAGGTCTACAAGGTTACATAGCAAAATGTTAACAGTGGTTAACTTGAGGGAAATTCACTTTAATTTTCTTTATGAGTATTTGTATTTTTAATCTACAACCATATATTATTTTATACTTTTTTTTTTTACAAAAGGTTAATCTAGGCATCTTCCACTTCTCTCTGGCAAAACTGAGATGTAAAAATTAACTCAGTCCCCAGCAGACCTCATTGTCTGGACTAATCAAGTTTTGTGAGGCTTTAGGGAATTCCTGAGGATGTGAGGCAGAGAGAGTGCTCAGCGCTCCATGACTCAATCCATGCTTCTACTTAAAGCTGCCACACCAGGAAATAACAGGTCCCAAAGCCGGAGAGATTTTGCTCTTCTTAAATAGGCCAACATAAGAAAGGGATGGTAGGGTTAGGAGGGAAGACAGAACAGACTAAAAATGCATGGATTCTTTTGGAAGACACTAGTTTATTTCTGGGAAATTTTTCTTTGTTGCAGAAATTACGTATTTAAGTGTCCCATTTTTCATCCCCTCTTTGTGATCTGACAGTCATTTGGCCATGACGTTGGTCCTTCTTTGAGCTGGCTCCAGGTAAAAAATGGCACACACATATGGTGGACAAGAGAGGGGCTTGACAATAAAACAGACTGGTGGAAAATTATCCAGGATGAGACAAAGAAAAGATGAAAGAAAGCTAAGTGTGTATAAACATCCTCAAGATCAAGAGAGGTCCTAACAAATATCCTTTAGCTTATGATGCATTGTGGGAAAATCCTGAGGCTCCCATGGGTTGCTCTCAGGGGACTACTCAGTCCTTTCACCTCGGACAAGCTTCCCATCAGATGCACTATATGCATTCATTAAGGTTCCCAAAGCACCTCATCTGTACTGTCATCAGGCACAGAAGCCATTCAGTGTAATCTGTACACATCCTCTTGCTCTTCACTGCCCATAAGCATGTGGGTATGGCACAAAGAGGAAATACATTTGTTTCCTTCAGGATAGCTGTTGTCCGAGAAACTTGGTTAAAAAAAAAAAATCTTCCTGCTATCTTTAATAAATAATTGGTTCACCTTCACTAAAGGAAAACTACTTTAATATAAGTAGTTTTGAGGGGGTCTTTCTACTTTGAGCTACCAAATTGACAAAAGTTACTCCAAATTTTTTTTTTTTGGTATCAAGATGCTCTGGAACCCTAACTATACCAGAAGGCAAGAGGTGTTACTGATGTCCCAAGAACTTTCAATGCTATATAAAACGAAAATTATTTTGTAGACTGGTGACTGCAGCCACCTTTTGAAGAGCCTGGCATTGTCTGTGGCTCTGCCTCATAGTGTTTCACGTTAGAAAACGGAAGCATAACGTGATTCTATAAGAGAAAGGAGATGAAACCCAGTGCCTGCAGCATAATAAAAAAGAACACAAACACCAGAATCAGATTTTGAATCTCAGCTCTAAATTACACTCTACTTGGGGTAATGGCCCTATCTCTCTGAACCTCAGTGTTCTTATCAATAAAATGGGAATAAAAGCTAATGTACAAGGTTACTGCAATGATCAGTTCAGTTCAGTCACTCAGTCGTGTCTGACTCCTTGCAACCCTATGAACCGCAGCACGCCAGGCCTCACTGTCCATCACCAACTCCCGGAGTCCACCCAAGCCCATGTCCATTGAGTTGGTGATGCCATCCAACCATCTCATCCTCTGTCGTCCCCTTCTCCTCCTGCCCTCAATCTTTCCCAGCATCACAAGGGTGTAAGAGGAGAGGGAGAAAGAAGAGTTAGTGCTTCATGGGCACAGTTTCGGTTTGAGATGATGGATCAAGTTCTGGGGATGGAGAGTAGTGATGCTGCATAACAATGTGAACGTACTTACGGTCACGGAACTGAACACTCCAAAGTGGCTGAAGTGGTAAATTTCATTTTGTATATTTTACCCCAATTTTTAAAAAAGGTATGTAAAGATCCTAGCACAGTGCTGGGCTCTTAGTAGGTGCTCAGGAAATGGTAGTCTAATTCCTTTATAAAATTTTTTAATTAAAAAAAATAACAGTACAAAAAGTCAAATAAAATCATGCTCCTTTCGCTCTGAAATTGTGAGAGGCTCTGACTCTCAGGCAAAGCCAGCTGGCCCCAGGACCGGGGAGCACCACAGCGAGGATCTGGGTAGGAGAAGGGAGGCTGCATGAGTCACACTCCCTCAGGCATGTTCAGCTCCCCGTCCACCCCCAAACCCTGGTATGGCACCTCCCAGAATACCAATCCTAGAGCCCCCCAACATCTCACAAAAAAAGCTGGGAAGCTTAAACCATTTCCCAGACCAGACTCCAGGTCATGAGGACAAAGGCATTCACTGTGGCAGCTGGCTCCTGTAAGTGGGAGAGTGACAAGAACTGAACACCAACTGCATAGGCCTGAGTTTATTCCAGTCCCCAGCATTAAGCTGATTGTATCTCTGATGCCTTTGGCTGGATTTAATGGACACAGGCACCAGCAGTCTCAAAGGCCCAGTAAAGGAAGATTAAAAATGCACTTGTCTGCCGTTCAGAGAAAACAATTAATGGTTATGTGTTGTAAGTCATAAAACAGAGAAGGGGGAAAATAGATGACTTATCTCTAGGCACATGAGAACACTGCTTTTGATGGGCAGGCTTAATTAATCTTGATGCAGTGTTCAGATGGACGGTCATTAACATCCCTCGAATTTAGCCCAAGGAGAATGAAATACTTGGGGTACTAATATCCAATTAAATCCAAAACAATACTTACTTTAGGGTCTGAGCTCTTAAACTTTAACCTTTCCACCAACTCTATCATAGCCGCCTTCAGTCCGCCTGAGTCTTTGCTCTAGAAGAAAGGAAAGTCAGGGGTCATTAGATAGCACTTTGTTACTCTCCAGAACACAAACAGTATTTCATGGGACAATGAAACGGAAGGCATTTTTTCCCCTTCCTATCAACAAGAAGACTAAACGACCAAGGAAAGCTGTGTGGCCCCTCTTCCTCTTCTCTATGGACAAAGACGGTTGGGACATAAATTGCCCAGTGACCTGAGAGAACAATTGGAATGAAAATTAAACACAATTTGTATAGGGTGACTCACTGCTTCATCTCAAGGCTCAACTGTGCCATTATTCACTGAGGGCCAAAGCTTTGCAAGAGATTTCTATCCAGGATGTTTATTTTATGACCTAGTGATTTTGATTTTAAACTTCTACATCACAAATACAGATATATGCAATACTAAATATTCTTTTTTTTTTTTATATTGTAGTGGGTTTTGTCATTGACATGAATCAGCCATGGATTTACATGTGTTCCCCATCCCGATCCCCCCTCCCACCTCCCTCTCCACCCGATCCCTCTGGGTCTTCCCAGTGCACCAGGCCCGAGCACTTGTCTCATGCATCCAACCTGGGCTGGTGATCTGTTTCACCCTAGATAATATACATGTTTCGCTGCTGTTCTCTCAAAACATCCCACCCTCGCCTTCTCCCACAGAGCTCTTACAAAAATAAAAACAAAAAAAATGCTCCAATATTTAACTGGAAGTGGCATTTCAGTGCGCTGGTTGAACACAGGTTTTTGAGTCAGACATAAAACATTTCAAATTTGGGGTCTACATTAACAAGTTAACTAAACTCAGGCAGGTTACTGACTCTCAAAACCTACTCCCTTTTCAACAAAATGAAGATTATAAAAAGGGTTATTTTGAAGCTTAACTGAAATGGTGTTTGTAAAGGCATGAGCATAATATGTGGCACATAGTAAAAGCTCAATAAATGTCACCTATTATTGTTGTTGTTACTGCATTATAATGATTTAGGACTAGCACAGTCCAACAGAAGTATAAGCCAAAAATGCAAGGCACATATATAATTTTAACTTTTCGAGTAGTCGAAAAAAAACAAAAGGAAATTAATTTGAATACATTTTACTTAAGTCAGTATGCCCACAATATTATCACCACTACATGTGATTTCAACATGAGGTATTTTATATGTTTTTTTCATACCAGAGCTTTGGAATGTAATGTGTATTTCACACAGCCCAATTCACTTTGGATTTACCAAATTTCAAGTACTCTAAAGCCATGTATAGCTGGTGATTACTGCACTGGTTACCACAGATTGAAAGCAAAGACTAAAGCTACACTGCCTGGATTCAGGTCCCAAATCTACCACTAGATCTGTGTGACCTTAGGCAAATCACTTAGCCTCTCAGAGCCTCAATTTCTTTATCTATAATATGAAGCTAATAATAGTACCCATTTCAGAGGGCTGTAGTAAGATAAAACCAAGCTCATATACATCAAGGTACTTGGAACAGGGCCTGGCACATGGTAAAGACAATAGATGTATGAGACATATTTATTATTATGGTCTGTCTCCCTCACAATATTTAAAATTCCTTAAAGGTAATAACTACATCTTTTCTCTGTATCTGCTTCCAGCATCAAGGTGTTTTAAAAAGTACACTGAACAAATGAATGAATGAATATGCCATCTTAAGATACGAATGCCTTAATAATAATACATGTGTGTAGCACGAGATGAAAAGTCACATGAATTAGTTTGTTTTCTTATCTCAACTCCTCGGGGATAGGATAGGATCTTTACCCTCATTTCACCAGTGAAGGGAAGGAGGTATGAGAAAATCAAGTCATTTTTATGGGTAAGGGACAATAAATAAGTGTAATATAATCAAACATGACAAATATCTGTTCTTCAAAATTGGTCTCAGAATAAGTGATATTTTCCCAATTTGGGAGGAAAATCCCAATTTCTCCAAAACAGGGCATACTTAGTAAGTCTCCATCATATAGATTAAAATAGACTAAAGCCTAAATTCTTTTTCCCCGCTCTACCCTCCATTCTCTCCCAAGTCCACAGTAAAAGTCTGATGTAACCTAAGATGGATATCTGCTTTAGATGTGCTCTCCAGATACAGCTGACATTCCCACCCTAACTGTGGTTCTAAGTTTTAATAATTTGTACTTTCAAGATGATGACATCACTTCCCAAATTTCATCACCAATTTAAATCTTTAATCTCTGGTCTCACAGCAGACAGGTGGGAAAAGGAATCTGGAGGTCACATACCAGGAAGTGCGTGAGACCCAAAGTACCTAAAGAAGGGTTAAACTGCCAGACACAATCCGGCTTTTATGAGACGATCAGACAATAACGCCTGTCTGGTGATATCATTCCTCTAACCTGCTTCTCATTGGCTGCACAAGCAGGTCACTTGTCCCTGGAAAGCTAGCTTCCCCCACATCCCAGCTGCCAGCACCCATTTTAAGCTCTTCAGCAAGAGCCCTGATATATTATGACTTCCCCACCGCCCTGCCTCCCCCCACAGCTCTAGAGAACAGAAAGGAATGCTCTAAACTGTGTCTTAAAACATTCAGAAGAGAAACAGGATGATGGAGGAATCCCTAAGAAGCAGACAGCCTGTTTGCTGGCAGATGTGCCTTGTGAGGGGAGATAAGGGAACCCTTAGCCTTCTTTCATAAAAATCCAGTGGGTCAGCAGAATTCTTCCTCCTTTTCACAAAGCAGCACTGCCTACCAGGCGAGTGACAGAGGAGAGGCAGAGAGCCTTCCTTCAGGAAATTCACCCAGACCACTCCCCACCCAGCTCTCTTTGAGAATATTCTCAAAGATAATTGGGGTCTATATGAAGCCAGCCTCTAAACAAGTGGTGGAAAAAAACAGTTCCCAGTGGCTTTTTTTTAAAAAAAAGCTTTAAAAAATAAAAAATAAAAACCCTCCCCCACAAATAAGCAGTTGGGAGACTCTCCCTGCAGTTGAGAGCTGCAGGGCTGAGGCAAGAGTGAAAATGGGCTACCTTGGCCCCAAAGCCACTGCCTTTCTTTTCTCACACACCCCAGCCCCTTCCTGCACCTTGTACAACAAGCCTTGTACACAGACGCTCAGGCTAGTACACCCAAGTTCTGGGACCATCTCTTTCAAACAGTCACGCTGGGCCACACCTGGAACATAAGAATGCACATATCAGGGGTGGGTCTGAGGGCTTGATTCATCTTTTGGAGGATGGGCTCAGAGAAAGCCTCTGCAGGTCCTGAGAGCAGGGTCAGGGCATTTCATTAGGTAATTCTTGGATTCTGGATACTTGGGAGAGTGGTCTAGAGGTGGGGTGGTAGTGGTGGTGGTTTAATCGCTAAGTCGTGTCCGACTCTTGCGACCCCATGGACTGTAGCCCGCCAGGCTCCTCTGTCCATGGGATTCTCCAGGCAAGAATGCTGGAGTCGGTTGCCATTTCCTTCTCCATTAGAAGGGGGCAGGCATGGGCAAAGCAAGGGCCCTCTAAAGCATAGGGTAGGGGCACAAGGTTGTCTATGTCTAAGGTGGTATTTGAGTATGAGTGTCTCCAAAGCATTGTGTGGTATTGTGTTTTAATAGTTTGCTGAGGGCACTCATCAGTCAAAAGGTAACTGGAATAGGTCATACTTACATATTTCCCTACTGTGGTGGAATGGAAGAGGTGCCTCTGAAACTTGTGTTCTAACTGCGAAGTCAGAAGAGTTCTAACTTTGGACACATGTGGATCCATAAATGGCCAGATTCTACTTGACAGTCCTTGGGGCAAGCACTGTGAGTGGTGATGAAGTGAGTGTCTCCTGATGCTGCTCTTCCTCACCTCCTTCCCATATGTGAGCCTATCCTTGTTTAGGAACCTCTCCCCTCCCCTGAGAAGAGTTTAGATTAAAACAAGACAAATGCTCTGGTGTGACACCCACCCCTCAAAATCTGATCCACACCTGTAGAGATGGGGATGCTTCACAGAAGTTAACTCCTAGGGATAAATCATAATAAAGTCAAAGAAAGGACAAAATGCCTACATTTGAAGTTATTCTTTATTCTCCAAAGCACTTTCCTATGCTCTACTATTGGCATTTCATAATAAAAGTAAAAAGTAGTGTATTCTCACTTTACAGCTGAGAAAAGGCTGGTGTAAATCAAATCAGAAACCACCAAATCAGAGTCCATACACTGTTTCACTAGCCTTACACAGTAACACAATAACTGAAAGGTAGTATTATTGCAATGAGCCAACACATTGGAGAAGACTCTAATGCTGGGAAAGATTGAAGGCAAAAGGAGAGGAAGGTGGCAGAGGATGAGATGGTTAGATAGCATCACCGACTCAATGGACATGAATCTGAGCAAACTCCAAGAGATAGTGGAGGACAGAGGAGCCTGGCCTACTGCAGTCCATGGGGTCACAAAAGAGTCAGACACAACTTAGGGACTGAACAACAAGTGTATTCTCATCATACAATAGGAAAAAAATGGCTCTGTGGGAAGTTAAATGATACCCCTCAAATTACAGAGCTGGTCAGTAGCAAAATCAGGACCAAAAAGACCCAATGCAAAGATTTATAACATATACAAGAGAAGAGGTTGGTATCAGGAACACATGGAAAAATACATAAAGGATTCCTATAAATAAGAAAAAGCCAAATAAGCACAAAAGAAATCCCAACAAAGGATATGAACATAATAGAAATGTGAAATGGCTAATACACATATGAAAAGATGTTAAAAGATGCTCAAACTTACTTGTAATTATGATATCATTTCTTATCCATCATACTTATCCAAATCAAAAAAAAAAAAAGTTTTGATTTGATAACACCAAGTGATGAGAGACTTTGGGGATGCTGGGGATTTTCATATGTTGCTGATATAACAAAGCTACTTTGAAATCACATGCCAAGCAAGTCCATTTTTCACTTTCTTCCCTTGAGTAACACTAACATGTGTCAAGGAGGTATGCACAAAAATAATTATTGCAGCACTGTTTTTAATAGTAAAAACCTGGAA